TTTTTTTATCCTTTCTGTGAATAAATGTTTTTGTTATTAGTTAAATTTGTTATATTTAGTGCGAGCGTCATATGTAAAGTATATCGTGTTTTTATTTTTTTTACTGTCTGCTCTGAATCTGAATGTTGTCTTCTTCATCTGCCTCAGCTTTCCAAAAATCCACACAGGGAGGAGGAGGAGAGGTAAACGTTTAACAAGCACACCGAAGTCTTAGATCGCCACCTTGTGGTTACACACAACAACACAACACAAAAATTACTGCAAATGAACTTCTCTAACATAATTCCACAAATTTATCCCAAAACATTTCATTTATCTATCAGATGAGCACCAGTAGGAGAAAAAGCAAGTTAAGATTTTAAGTTTGGAGGACAGAAATTGAAACTAAACAAATTAATTAAATGAACTAAAAAACAAAACAAAAACAAAGTACATTAAAAGTACTTAAAAGCAAAATGCTGAATCACTTTGGGTAGATTTGATAATATACATCATATATGATCATATACACTTTTACTGTATATAAACAGTAAACACAAGCCATAAGAATATAAAAGAATAAGTCCCTCTAACAAATAAAGTAGCTCAACACATAAAATTACAACAAATTAAGCGTTCACTTTAGTAAAATATAGCAGGTCAGTAAAACACTGAGTGAAAAGGTCAGTAAAATACAATAAATATATTTCTATAGACCAGTGCTTCTCAAACAGAGGCCAAGTGGGGCAATCAAAACATGATTTGCATCCACTAAAATTAGTTTTCTGATACTATTCAGCTTCCTTGTTTTTCATTATTTTTTAAAATAGTTAATTCAGACATTATGTGTGACATGTGTGAAAATGTTGATAAGCTATAAAGTAACTTTAGTTATTTTGATTAATTAGCATTTATTTACATCCATATTCTCTAATATTTTTATTATATACATTTTATTTAATTTCCATTAATTTTATCTCAAATGATTGTTTTGTTATTTTTATTATTTTAGTACATACATTTTTGAATGGACTGTATTTTATTACTTACATTTTTTACATCATGTCATTTTACATTTAATCTATAAATATGTCTTAATTTTATTCATTATTTACTTTTATCATTTGTTACTTTTATCTCTGAAAATATTGTATTGTATTAATTTAGATTGTACTTTAAATTAATATAATATTCAATATATATATATAATATATTACTAACCTAATATATTTTTTATGAATTTTAAATGTATGTATATATTATGCATTATTTTCATGTTTATTAATGTTTTCTTTAATAAATAATTTCAAGTGTAATATATTAATATATTAGCTTATTTTATATTTTAATAATAAATGTGTTTTCCTCCAAAAAATTTTTTATTTTGGTTTAATTTAATTTGACAAAATTTTTAATTGGTCTATTTTGTTTCAACTTGTTTTTCCCCACCAGCAGAGGGCGAGAATGCGTCGATGTACAGACCCCTGTAAACCGAAGAAGAAGAAGAAGAAGAAGAAGAAGACGACGACGACGACGACGAAACAGCTAGGTTGCTTGCGGCTTTCAATCGTCGACTTTCTGCATCTGTTTTCGTGGAAAACGAAGCCAGTGGCAGGTCCAAGGTCCACGAGTTGTTTTTTTTGCCTGGAGCTGCGTGGATCACCTGAGAGGGTGCAGCGGTGATTTGAGGTGAGCCGCTGATTTTATTTCCTCCTCTACGTTTAGCCGCTAGCTAACTGTTAGCGGAGTTGTTTTCTACACAGGTTAGAAATTAGACGGGTTTTTTGGTTCGGTTTTGTTCGACGATGTTTCTGATTGAAACTCGGCATTTTCTTAGATCACACTTTCAGTTCGACCACAATGAAACCACTGCGCGCTGAATTTCCTAGAAGCCTCTTTCTCTGAACGTTCAACACATCTCTGATCAGAGAGGATTAATTCGGGTTACACCAATCCTGCACAAACCCTGCTCTACATTAATGAAAATTACATGCATTTTTCCCGCTCCATGGCCAACATTTTCTATGTTTCTGTGTCGCGTTATAGTCCCACCTGTAAAACACAGTCTACCTGCGTCAGTGTCTCTATATTTAAACTTAATACCAGCTGGTTAAACTGATACTCCCCCCCCCCCCAAAAAAAAAATAAATAAATAAATAAATAACAAAACAAAACACTGATAATAAAAGATGGTCAAAAGAATATGGTAGGCAGAGGAGAAACTGATGCTGCATGAGGAAGTCAGGAGTGGTTGAGGAGTGAAGGTATAAGGGCAGGATATAAATGAGGACAGCGAGATGGTTTCAAGGTGGGATTGCATCAGGGATCTGCTCTGAGCTCCTTCGTGTTTGGACAGGCTGACAGATGAGTTCAGGGAGGAGTCTCTGTTTACGTTAATGTTTACTGACGACACTGTGATCTCTAGCAAAAGTGTGGAGAGGTGAATATATGGTCTGGTGAGAAGAGCAATGAAAGTCAGTAGAAGCAAGACAGAATATATGTGTGAATGAGAGGTGGGGAGGTGGACATGTGAAGAGCAGAGAGAGTAAAAGTTTAGATAGGTTTGAATATCTGGTATCATGGACATTTGCAGAGGACGGAGAGTGGATGTATCGGAGCTGCGAGGCAGGAAGAAAAGAGGAAGACGTCAGAAGATGTTCATGGATTTAATGAAGGAGGACATGGTCTGGTGTGACAGAGGAGGGTGTTGGGATAGGAGAAGATGATGGCAGATAATCTGTTGTACAGACCTCTAAAGCTAGCAGTTTAAAGAAGAACTGTGTTTATTTTTATTAATTTCTTCTTTATTTTATTGAAGCTTAAACTAACAGCATTTAGGGATCAGCAGGATATTCTTATCACTTTTCTGGTTTTCTATAATGTTACGTAGGGCTGTGCGATATGACCAAAATCTCATAACCTGATATAAGACATCTATCGTCCCGATAACGATACAAATCACAAAATTTAAAATTTTCTGTAAATTCTGTGAATCTCGGGCAGCTCGACCTGCGTGAAGCGTTTCTAGTACCTGGAGTCGAGTGTTTTAACTGATGCATGAAACGATGCATTTTTAGACACAAGTTGTAACGGCCGCCGTTTGCTCTGTGAGTATTTATTACACAACGTGCTGCGGGGAAAAGCCTGTTCTAACGTTTGAGTCCAAGGTTTATTTTTTAGCACCTGGCGGCTCTTTTTGGCTTCTCATCAGTAAATACTCTGCATACTCTTTCACGTGATTCGGTTTATTTTGAAAAGTCTCAACAGGATCTTGAGCTTTATTGTGAAAGGTTTATGTGCAAAGTAAACCAGCGGACACGCGATGGTTTTACCGTCGTTAACAAGGCATAAAGCAGGCGCTTGTCCGTCTGTAGTGTGGTTATATTAAATATAAGAGAAAGAGAGAACTTTAAGAAATTAATATAGCCACTACAGTGACCATCAAAACGATGAAAAAAATATTGCCGAAACAAACAATAGCATAAAATGAAAGATAGACGTTTTTATATCGTCATCCGATATACATCGTTATATGAACAGCCGTAATTTTACGTTAACTGTGTACAACTATGGTTAAAAAGAAAAGTACACCTGCTTCAAATTCAAAGGTTTTCAGTATCAGGATGTAATGAAAATCATCTGATTCTTAGCAGGCCTTAAAATCATTTAAATACAACCTCAGATGAACAGCAACAGATGACATATTACATGTGTCATTATTTATTTCACAAAAACCAAGACAGAAGCAGAGTGTGAAAAACAAAGTTCATCCTTACGGCTTACATGGGAATGAAGAGGGTAAGTAGCAGCCGGGTGCTGGTAATCAAACGCATTGATTAGTTGATCTTCATCGAAGCGGAATTATGGTGGTCTGGATTACTCAGGTGTGTTAACAGAACAATCTTCCCAGGAGGGGACATCCCAGCAAATTCACCCGAGCTCAGCCCGTGCAATGATCAACTACAAGAAAACCCAAGAGCTCCGTGTCAGACTACAGGCCTCAGTTAGCATGTTAAAGTTCATGACAGCACAATTAGAATAACAGGTGTGGCTTGTTTGGAAGGTTTTCCAGGAGAAAGCCTCTTCTCTCTGAGAAGAACATGGCAGCACAACATAGGTTTGCAAAGCACAATCGCCTCAAACGAGCTGTCGGCACGGTGGTGGAAGGTTCATGTTTTGGGTACCTTGCAGTCCCTGAGTGAACAGTGAACTCTTTTCTCTACTAAAGTATTCTTGAGTCAAACGTGAGACCACCTGTCCCACAGCTAAAGCTCAGCTGATGTTCAGTTGTCCAGCAGGACGGTGATCCAAAGCACAGAAGCAAATCTCCACCAGTGGCTGAAAAAGAAAATAATCTCAATGCTGCAATGGTCCAGACCTCAGCCTGACTGAGATGCTGTGGGTGGGACATTCACAGAGCTGTGCATGAGTGATTGCTGCAAACCTCAATGAACTGAAGCAAGAAGAGTTTGACTAGAACTCCTCCACTGCGATAACTCAGTTATTGCTGCTGGGTTTGTCGTTTTTCACCCGCTGCTTCTGCATGTCCTCATACTTAAAACCTTACATCTGACAGAGGGTGTACTTCATCTTTCACCAAAACTGTATCAGGATGAACACTTTTTATGTTTTTGTTTACATTATCAGCAATTTCCTATCATAAAGTAGCCGAGGCAGACGTGACACAATCTAGAAAATAATGTTTTTTTCCTTCTTCACTTCCTGAGCACGTGGTGTTCACTCTTAAGTGTTTTCTCTCAGGGCAACTCGTCCTCCACCTTCACATCACCTTTTACGTCTTCTGTCTTCCCTGACACCTTCTGTCTGCAGGAAACGCCCAGAGCGTTTCTCCACAGCTCGCCATCATGTCTCAGAATTACCCGTACAGAAAGCCGCCGCCTGACACCGACCTCAGAACTGATCCCGGGCCTTACAGATCTGTGGACTACCGCCACTCCTCAGCGGACCGTGACTTTTACAGGCAGCCACAAGACTCCTTCTCTGTCTCCTCCTCCTGCCCGTCCTCGTCCAGGGGCTCTGGAGTGCTGCAGTCATCGCAGGACAATGTTCTGAGCATCCTGAGCAGCTGCGGTCTGGAGCCCAGTGATCTGGCGCTGCTAGCTGAGCTGCCCGAAGACGTCCTCACTATTGAGTCTCTGCCACACATCCTCAGACAGATCAAATGCAAGAAAGGGACCGTCAAACCTTTCCCTCCCCGGGCTCCGTCTCCCTCCTCCTCTTCCTCCTACCCTCCCAGCTCCTCCTCCTCTAGAGACTGGGACCAGCTCCATCGCACGTCGGTCCAGTACCCGCTGGACCACCTGCCACCACCACCTCCTCCCTCGGAGCAGCTCATGGATCGCTGGAATAATCCGATTACCGTGAGCTCCGGCCGAGCAGAGCTGCCACCATCGTCATCCTTATCATCGTCGTCGTTGGGGTACACGGTGGACTTCCACCGCAGGCAGGGCCCCTCTGATTATGGTAAGGCTGGTCCAGTTCCTTCTTACAGCCCGGCGAGGCGAGGAGATAGAGCGCCGTCATCTCGATTCTCTGAGGCTGGACCAGCTGATTACAGGTCATCAGCGCTGGTGACGGCTTCTCCTCTTCCTAGCGAGCACCAGTCCAAACCTCTGGCAAGCCGCCGTGACACGTCCTCCACGAGGAGCAGTCAGTCCTCGCCCTCAATGCCTACACGGAAAGAAGCTCTGGATTTCCACGGGAAGGTCCCGCCGTCGTTCCCGTACTCGTGCTCGCTGTGTGATATCACTGTACTGTCGCAGAAGGTAAGTGCACCTGTCCTCGAATCTCTCTCTGCAGTCTGTGTGGGTGGTGTGAGGGTCTACATTCAGCCACAAAGGATGATGGGAGCTGCACGTGTCCTATGAGACCGGAGTGCCACAAAGAGAGATGGTAACGGGTTTACTTCCTGTTGTTTTTAGGTTTGGATTCAGCACGTGACCGGCAGGCACCATGCAGATGGACAGCTCAGCCTCCTGCAGCAGTGAGTTTACTTCACATCAACGGCAAGTTTCTCCATCTACTGCTTGCAGGGTTTAATAACGCTCTCCCATCTCCTCCACAGGTTTCCTAACTGGGACTGCCGCATGCAGACGGTCCGAAGGTCAGTGACCGAAACCACATCATCGTTCTCACGCCTCTGAACAGAGATCTGAATTTTATCAAAGTGGAAAACTTTGGCATGTCTCAAAGATGAAATGTTGTTTTTTTGATGTGAATAAATAATCAGCGAGCCAAAAAAAACATGGATCAACTGAACAACGTGGATGTTAATGAACCCTGAAAAACGTCGACCAATTTACAAGGATATGACATATAATTTAACCAAAGCGCCACATTTCAACAAACGACTGTAAAAATATTTTTTAGTAAGTTTCCCATTTTTAAATTGCTCGATCTTTTAAAACTACTTCAGCCTGAAATATAAATGTCAAGTATCAATGATATAGTTCTTTAAAGAATAGGGACCCCAGCTGAGGTGGAGCAGAGGCTGCAAATGGACAGACTGGTTATTGCGTGTAAGCTTCCCACGTGGCACTGCTGGCTCTTCTCCTTCTGTTCGTGCAAAACTCACACCGCCCTTACGCATGCTGAGGAGAGGGGCTTGCAGCAGCAGCCAGCAGATTTGAATTGATTAACTTTTTGACTTGTGACCACCGAATTACTGTGTCCATGCTTTGAATAGTAAAAAGTAGTGCCATCTGGCGGACAAATAAAATAAAAATTTCAAATTGAAGGTGAGTGATCCAACATTAAAGAAATGCTTTGGTTGATGTCAAGATAAATGTGGGATCAGTGATTTTCAATTGAGCATTTTTTGGCTCCAGGATGAAATGTGGCCATTTTTGTGTAGCTTAGCTATTTTAAACTAATTTAAGGAACTGAGAGAACAATTCTAAAATTAAAAAAAAGAAAGAATGGCAAATATGAGCGATGTTCATTCAGCACAGCCAACTAAGTCTGGGAAAAAAATTAATAAAAAGCTGTGACCCTGCCAAAAATCAATCAATCTTTTATTTTTCTAATAATTGAAGGACGGGTTTTTGGTCCAGATGTTAGCGGTCCTGATATTGATCCAAAGCTGCTGTGATCAGCTTTTTTTTTTTTAATTTTTTTTTTTATTGATAAGATGTTTGCTTTTCATTCAGTGGCTCTGTTTTTAATTTGTTTGATCGTCCTCTTTTTGTCATTTTTAGGGACGATAAATCTGAGAAGAAGAAAGATGGAGGAAAAGGCGCCCCGGCAGCTAGTCAAAGTAAGTCTGCCTCACTCGGCTGTGCCTTTGTGTTTACACGTTTAGGTTTTTCTGCTTAAACTTGTTCTTTCTGTTCGGCAGCATCGCAGTCGAATAGCAAGTGGAAGCAGAAGAAGGTAAAGAAGGTAGAGACGTGTGTCTAAGATCTCGATGAGGTTCGCTTTAGCCCCTCCTGAATCAGCTGAAAGTCTTTGTGTTTGTTTCCTGTCAGAATTTGGAGAAAGGGAAGGTAGTGTGCATCAAGTTTCCGTCTCAGTCTGTCGATGAGAAATACCTCAGGAAGCTTGCAGAACCGTTCGGGAAGATCATCAAGGTCATCATGTTTCCGTCTCTGGTGAGTCTGCGAGGTTCTTCATCATCACACCGATGATATTTGCATGTTCGTTCATTTAAAGACGAGCAGCAGCTTTCTTTCTCTCTTTTGCACATGAGCGTTATTAAAGTGGGTTTAAACCCTGCAGGGCTTCGTGGAGATGGGCTCGGTTGATCAGGCCAAAGACTTGGTGAAGTTTCACAGCAATTATCCTCCAACTGTGAACGGAGAGCAGCTCGTGTTCAGCGTCTCCAGCGCCTTCAACTTTCTCCAGGTAGAAGAGAAACACTTCCAGTGTCCAGTTTTTCCTGCATACGAAAAGTACAGAAAGTCCCAGTGTCAAACGTTTGGTTATTACTGAGAAAAATATCTCAGTCTGGAAAAGCTCCCGTCTCACAAACACAGCGAGAGGTGTCAACATTTATTTTTATTTTTTTACATGCAGGGAATTCCCTGATTGCAGGCAGGTGGGGCTTCTGTGTTACAGCCGGGCCATATGAGAGTATTCCCTCTTTGTGACGTTGTACAGTTCAGTATTTAGAAAAACGTCTGTTTTCATTGTTGATAAAGTCTCTTCACACTTTGATGTCTCCTCAGAGCTCCCGGGTGGTGAGTTTCACGCCCGCTCCGTCGGGAGAAGACGGAAAATCCGACCTGATCAATATCATCAAACGCTTCGGCCCGCCGCTCTACACCCTGTTCCTGCCGTCAATGGTGAGGCTCAGCCCATTTAAAAAACTATACCGGAGAGGAAGACAGTTTCTTTGTTTTTCTTAAATAATCACTTTAAAAGACTTTAGAAAACACATACAAGGTGTTGTTTTCAGGTGTTCGTTGAGATGAAGAACGCCCCTGATGCTCAGAAGCTGGTGGATTATTATCTGTCCAACACTCTGAGGATCAACAGTGACTTGATTTGTGTCTCCTTCTCTGGAGAGTACAAGACTCTCATGTGAGTACGACCGACCCGATAGGAAGGTAACTGGCGGATTATCATCCAGGGGTGATCAGTGATAATGGTCCTGCTTTTGTCTGGTCTGTCCTGTAGGCGGGTTTCAAAAGCCAAGAGGTACGAAGAAGAAAACGAAAGTACAAAGAAGAGTACCACCAAGAGGACAAGGAGCTCAAGCCGAGACAGAACGACAGAAAATAAGAAAAGAAGGTCCAGATCCAGAGACAAGGCCAGAAAAGAGGAACGGACCAGAACAAGGTCCAGGTCCAGGGATAAATCTAAAGAAAAATCCAGCAGAGATGCCAAAACTAGATCTAGGTCCAAAGACAAGTTGGATAGAAAAAGGAAGAGCAGAACCCGGTCCAGGTCCAGAGATAAGTCCACTAGTGAGAAGCGGACCAGGACCAGGTCTAAGTCAGGGTCCAGAGAAAAAACAAAAGAAAAATCCAACAAGGAAAGCAAGAAAGGGTCCCAAGCGAAGAAGCCAGACGAATCGAGAGAAAAATCCAACAGAGACCAGAAGACCAGGTCCGCATCCAGAGACAAGTCCAGCAGAGAGACAAAAACCAAGTCTACAACCCAAGAAAAGTCAAGCAAAGAAAGAAAAAGCAGGAGCAAATCTAGATCCGTGGAAAAATCCAGCAGAGATAAGAAATCCAGGTCTAGAGAGAGATCCAGCAACAAGTCCTCCAGACGGGACGGAGAAAAGACGGCAGAACCAGAGAAACCAGGTAAGAAAACGCAACACGATGCCAGGACCAGTCGCTCCAGACAGGCTGGTGTGAAATCTTCTTTTCTACACAGATGCAGAGTCCACATCCAAAGGACGACCGTCTCCTCTCGAAGACTCCAAACCTGAAGTTTCAAACACAGAAGAAGTGGAGGGGGAGGCAGCGTGAGTTCCTCATGTTGCTGTTTTTTGTCTTAGGTTTTTTTTTTTGTTTGCAGAAAAGCCTCTGCAAGTGAAACTAGAACAGTCTTAACTAAAGATGCCACTTCAGGTTGCCTGGAGAGGAGAGCGACATCGAGGGGATGGAGGTGATTGCTGAGGATGGAGAGAATCTGGCAGATGACGATGAGGAGGCTCTGCAAGAGGAAGAGAAAAAAGAGAGTCCTAAAGAGAGAGCACCTGAAAAAGGTAGAAAATGAGAGCTGAGCTTTCACAGCAAAGCTGGCTTTAAAGGAAAACAAAGGAAATGCTTGACTTTGTTAAAAAAAAACCTCCCTTATAGATGAAGTAAAGGAGGTGATAGGTGGAGAGCCTGGCAATGAGGAGAAACCTGCGTCGGAGAAGGAGATAAAGAAGGAAGAGAAGGAGGAAGTAGAGGAGTCAAAGGAAGCAACAGAGACTCCTCTACAGGAGGATTTGGTAAAGACTTTTAGATGAACATGTTAGTGTGGACATATTTTAAGCTTTAAAGTGGAAAAAAGGGATTCAGTTGGAGCGATGTGCTTTTTCAGGAGGACTTCCCTGTAGACCTGGAAAACTGCATCACTCTGGATGAACTGGAAGAAGATGACTCTGACGACCAAGGTATACCTGGAAGTCTTGTGATGCTGAACACAAAACATATTGTTGTACCAGCACGTTTGGTTGACTTTTAAAGCTCACTGTTCAGTTTCTGATATTCTTCCTGTTTGATTTTGTTGCAGGTGGAGAATCAGCAGATGAGCCCAAGGTAAGTGTTACCTTTAATATAACGGCTGAGTTTTTGTCCGATATGTTGCTGATTTAACAGTTTGTTCTTTCTTTGCTTGTAGTCAACATCGAAATCCAGCAGGGTTTTTTACTTCGGCCACCTGCCACCTAATTACGCCCTCTTTGACTTCTTCCAACTGCTGCGAAATTTTGGGAAGGTGGTGCGCTATTACCTGATTGGCAATCGACGAGAGGTCAGTAAGAAAATGAGATGAGATTTAAAAAAATAATTTTTTAGCTTTTTAAAATTTAAATACCGATTATAAATACATGGTACAAAGGGAATATCTTTGTAAATGAAAATCAAATTTGATACAGTTATGAGCCTGAATACAAACTGCATAAAGGATACATTGATCATATACGTCATTCATCACAGTCATTTTCATGACCTCTGTCAGCTGATAGAGGAATCCAAACTGTGCTGATTCAGCCCAGCAATAGGAATGATGATAATCCCTGTGCATCATCAGGCTCCTCCATCCTATTGGATAAAAATAATAATAATATGGAAATTGATTGGCCAGCCAAGTTGGCTTGAGGCATCTTACATTGCTGTGTTTGTGTATGTTGGCTTTGGTATTTGCTACTAGCAGTAAGAGTTATAGTAATTGCGTTGATCCTGTTTATGTTGTGACCCTTAGAGTTCAGAGTTGAGTGGATTCTTTACCTTTGGGACCATTTTCAGACTCTTTTTGTGTTTCAGGGTTTCATTGAGATGTCGAGTTCTTCAGCGGCCCTGAAAGCTGTTGAAGAGCTCGTCAGCAAACCAGCCATCCACAACTGCCCCAAACTCAAAGCCCGCATCTCCACCAAATACTACAGACTTGACAACGGGTCCGAAACCGCCTCTTCACTCTTCCTAATTTCTTTTCTGTGAACTTTTAATCATGAAATTCATACTTTACCCCTTTCTTGCAGATGGGTTGTTCACTCGGACGGCAGCAATGACAAGGACAGTCGAGGCAGGAAGCGCGAGAAACGAAGCAAATCCAAGACCTCAGACCAGGACGAGACCGACAGGAGGTCTAAAGGGAGGAAGGAGTCCCCGAAGAAGACATCAGAGAAATCAGGCAAAAAGACTCCAGAAAAAGATTCTGGGTCAAAAAAGCCTCCAGAGAAAGACTCATCAGGGAAAAAGACCCCAAAGAAAGAGTCCACATCCAAAACGTCTCCAGAAAAGGATGCCAAAAACATCTTGGAAACGAAATCCACTGGGAAAAAGACTCCACCGAAAGATTTGCCATCTAAAAAAACTTCAGGTAAGGATTCTACAACAAAAAAGACTCCAGCGAAAAAGCCCGCATCCAGAAAGACTCTGGAAAACAAGTCTACATTCAGAGAAACTTCAGAAGAAGAGTCCAAAAAGTCTCCAAAGAGGGAATCGTTGGACAAAGAGCCTCCAGAAAAGGTCCTTAAAAACGGCCCGGAGAAGGAATCCGCAGGGAGAAAGACTCCTGAGAAAGGGTCATCGTGTGCAGAGATTCCAGACAGCGAGACGCTGGAACCAAAAGGAGCTCCTGACAATAATTCAGTGCCTCAGACAACTGTGAAGAAAGAACTAAAGAAAGAAAATACTCAACAAAATGAGGAACCAGCAGCTGATAAAGCGCCATCTGAAAAAGATTATATCAAAAAGGAAACACCACGCACATTCAAGCAGGAGGAGGAGGAAACACCAATAGACGTTTGTATGGAAGCAGGACCAAATGTGAAAGATGCAGAGAGTCCAGATCCACCAGTCTCCTCTACAGAGCCCTCAAAACCACCACCTGAACAGGTATAACTGAAAGCGAAGGTGCTGTGATCCCAGCTCAACAGAAATATTAGTTTCCCCAGGATAACATCAAAGTCTTAAATGCTATTTCACATAGTTTCAAAACGCCAAAACAAAACGGCCTTTTTAGAAACAAAATTTCTAAAAAGACTTTGACAGATCTCAAATGTTGAATCAGCTGTTAAAATAGCTCCATTCATTTTATCTGCAGTTCAGTCTTAAATATGTAGTTTTGTTCAAATTGCCTCAGCCATGAAATATTTCTTATTAAAATTACCTGTGCGATGAATAGACTTTAAATGTAAATATATTGCACAGCAGTTAAAAACACAGTTAATGATGGAAAAAGATTTTTGGCCATAAATAAATGAAAATCTGCCCTGAAGTGCAGGATTAAAGCTCATGACTGATTTGTTACTTTCAGGAGGCGAAGCCCCAGTTTGAACCTGCAGAGGGCGCTGCTGAACCTCAGAAACCCACCAAACCTGTTGGTAAGAAAGCCTGAGCTTATTTGAAATCCCATTTAGTTAGTTTAGTTTGTTGCTTCCTGTTGCATAATAAGGAAGTTTAAACACGTGCAGCAGTGCATTCACTGCCGCTTGTTTGTGTTTGTTTTGTAGGGACGGAGTTCGTGCGACCGGTCGTCGGTTATTTCTGTAACCTGTGTCAGCAGATCTTCGCTGAAGAGGATGAAGCCAAACAGCAGCACTGCAGCAGCCTGTCGCATTACAGCAAATACCAGGTGGAGGGAAAAAAGGTTTTAATGTTAAGTTTTTATTTTTCAGCTGAATTTAAATTAAGTCCTTGTTTTGTTTGGTTTTTCAGGAGAAGACTGGGAGGGATCCGTGGACGAGCTGAACATCTGCAGAGACATTGGTTACCTTCAGATTTTATTAATTGACTTTATCAGAGCTGAAACGGGACTGAGATCCTAAACATGATTTGATTTCTGTCTGTTCTCCACTGGACTTTGAGTTTCTGTACAAAGATTTTTTTTTTTAAAGGCTTCTGCTGAAAAATTCAAAAATGTATAAATATTTAAGTTTTATGTCATGCAGAACAGCAACTGTATGTTTGAGAAAGAGTGAGATGTGACTGTAAAAAGCCACTTGCTTACATTTCTGTTAAGCTCCAGGCTCTCTCCTACTCACGTGCTCTAGTCCTAAAAGGTGTTGATTGGTCAACCCAGAAGATTTAGAAACAAACACCAGGTTCAGATGCTGTCAGATTAAGAAAAATGTCTTAAGGATGCTGTAATGTCAGAATATTAACTGCTCCCTGGGCTCTAATCAGTTTTTGTCTAATTGTACTCATGCCGCACCTTCACAGAAGCTATGTAATTTAAGAATCTGTGGTGTTGTCAAATAAATAATCTCACATGAACAACAGTGGTTTTATTATTTTATTTTTCTAAAACATCAACAGAAAACTCAAAAGTGAGACTTACAGTTCAACATGTCAACCCAGGAAGTCGTGACGCCGTCATAGATTTGTTCAAAGACTAGTTCACGATCACAGCCATTGATCTGTCGCTTCATTGTTTACAAACGTAACACTGATGTAGCGGTGAGACTGCGGTAAAGAGATGAAAATCGAGCTGTGACTAAATGGCACGAGACCAATGGTGACAGCACAAAACACTGGGTCTTTTATTTTGAAAATAACCAGATTATTTTAAGATCATGGAGGTAATCTGGAGTAAAATCACATTTTTATGTGACCTGCGTGAACTCAGGTGACATGTGTAAGGAGAGTCCATCTTCAGGACGCTGTAGCTTAATCATGGGAAAGATCTGAGCAGAGGGGGAGTTGGGGTTGCCTGATGATTCTGTTGATCCGATGTTTTTAGATGAATAAAGAAAGTGACAGCTGTGTAAACACCTGTACGGTATCAGTTTTTTGTTTAGTTTTAAAATTGGGATCTTAAACACAGTATTCCTTTTCCTGACCATTTAGACAAAAGAAGAACTAATAAAAGAGCTAATCAATACCTGCAGAAATGAAGCAAAAAAAAAGGAGGCGTGGCTACAAACAGCGAGTCCTTCGGGGTTCAATGCCACAGAGCGGCAGCAGAAAGTCGCTCCGATGTGTGCTTCAAACGTTGCTATAGAAACAAAGATTTTTAAAAAAGTCCATCCACACTTCTTCCTCAGTTTCAGATGTTCTCACGGCGTTGTCGTCTTCACCTTCTTCTCCGCTTTGCTTTGCTCCTTCTCCAGGTATTTCTGAAAAACAAAACAAACTTCAGTTTGTTTGGTGGAGCCGTGTGTCAGATGTGTGGAGCTGATTCAGGCTCATGTGTGGGTGGAGCTATGAGTGGGGCGGGTTCTCACCTGGAGCTTGTCGTAGTGCGCCTGGCTGCTGCAGTGCGTCTTCTTCGCTGTGTCTTCGTTGGAGTAAAACAGGAAACAGATGCGGCAGTAAAAACCTGCTTTCACATGTTCGACACCTGCAGGAAAACAATCGTATTGATGATGACGCCTTTTTTTTTTTTTTTTTTTTTTTTTTAACATAAACCATCCAACTGCCTGGTGATCAGAAAGTGTCCTCACCAATGGGCGTGTTGGGGTCGTATGGTGGAAGCGGCATAGACGCCACACTGGGTTTGTTCTCAGCAGGAGGAGCAGCCTCGGTCTCCCCGCTCTGATTGGTCGATGTCTCCATCTGCTCCACCAGCTCCTCCTGTTTCTCCTGAGAGGAGAGAATTTGTTTAATCCAACTGTATTTTAAGTAATCAATAATCACGCCGTTATCGGTCATTAAAGATCTTCAGAAACGACTCACGTCCTCGCTGCTCCTCTCAGCAGAAACTTCAGGAACTTTCTCCGCGGCCGACTTTTCTTCCACCGCTGTCTCTTCGCTCACATCAGGGGTCTCCATTTCCTCCTCCTGCTGCTTCTCCTCCACATCCTCCTTTTTCTCCTCCTCCACCTCTGGTTGGGCCTCCTCTTTAGGTTTCTTGGCCGGTGGTTCCTCGGCATCTTTCGAGAACTTTTGTGGCGAGTCGTCACTCGCTCTCTTCACGGTGTTCGGCGTTCGATGGCTGAGTGAACACAGTGAGATGAGACAGAGCGTTTAATGTGACACAAACACAAACTCCCAGCATGCACCTCAGTATGCTCTTCACCACAGCCTCAAAAACAGGACTGCAGATAAAACTGAACAGAACCTTTGGACTAACAAGGTGTGACCCTTGGTCAAAGCTTTAAAATGTGATGTTTCATCAACACTACAGAATAGTCGTCTGACCCGACAGTCAGCTGTTCCCAAGGCTTTCATAGAACCTCAACAAAGCTTATAAAACATCAGAAAGAGTTGTTTGACTTTTCACCATCGAATGTTTTTCTCAAAATTAGCAAACCAAAGAGTGAAAATCCCTGGCCGACATTAGAGGGCAGGCTCTCGGGACACTTCAACATAAAAACAGTATTTAAAGTTTAAACAAGTCGAAGTTTTCATGACTGAATTGTTTTTTAAGTTTTGTGATAATTTTTTTTGTTTCCTGCACAGTGATGACATCATGCACTCAGATGTCAGCCTGGAGATCATTCTGGAAATACAGGATTTTCCAGCAGTTAATGGCAGAAACATGTTCCAGCGACAGTTCCTGCTGCTTGTGGTAAAAGAGTGTTTCTAGATTGGTTGTAGTTTTTATTTGGTCGCCAGTCAAACAGCCGTTAGTGGTGACTCATGCACCCAGGGGCCACAGAAGACGACGATGATGCTCACCCGTGTTTCAGTTGCTTGTACTTCCTGCTCACGTAGATGGTCAGGCGCTTCCCGTTTAACTTTGGCGACTTCGCTTTATAATCGGCAGCCATCTTCTCGGCATCCTCGGCATTGTACATCTCGAGGAAACACTGAGGAAAAATGTTGGACAGTTTTAAAGCAGCAGTAATTAAACGGATTCAGTTCAGGCGTGCGGTTGCCCTGGTTCTGTACCTCTCTCCGGATCCTGTTCAGGAAGTACTTTTTGACCTTGCCAAATGGCTCGGCGAACTTCAGGATTTCCTCGTCTGTGTATTTGCTGTTGGGGAGCTGACCGATGTACACCACCTTGCTGGAACCGGACTGAACAGCAAGCAGAAAAAAAAAAAAGGACATTCAAAAGGTCTCAAAATTAATTCATTATAATCCTAAAGGCTGCCGTAAAACAGACGTCACTGATGCAAACTGAGCTTTATAGAACCTTAAATACACTCTGAATCAGTTAATCTAGCTCATAATCTGGATTAAGAGTATTTATATAAATCTCTTAATCCAGAGTGACCGTAGATTTATTGAGGAAGCATTGAAGCTATTTTTTTGATATGTGGAGAATTTAACTTCAGACAGTTCCTAAGCAAAACTGACTATTCATCCACTGCCCTGTTGTCCATCGTTACCAACATGAAGCATACTGGGAGTAATCCTTGAAGCCCTTTTCTAAACTGGAGTAGTTGCTGTCATGTTTCAAATGTTATGAGGGAAAGAGTGTGAAATATACAGACTCTCGTGCAGAAGGTCAAACATCTCGCTTCGATGTTCACAATGTTTCAGACCTCGTCTGTATTTACAGGGATCAGAAATGACCTTAAAACTCAAGATGAGGAGTTCAGTTCCCTTAAATACTTTCTCACTCCATACTAAAAGTCTAACATGTTACAGTCAGATCATCAGCCTGCTTTTATAGTTTAAAACTGGTTAAAAGAGACTCTGAGCAAATGAGTCTTCCGCTGCTTCTTTAAACAATCAACAAAATCAAGACAGTGCAAAGATGGAGGTAAGGCATTCCACAATCTGGGGTTAAAAGGAGATTGTGGGACCATTAACAGCCTTTGTCTTCTGTGGGGATATGAGATTTTGGCCATATCGCACAGCCCTACGAGAAGCTCAGAAATATACTGGAGATTAAAACTGGGGGCTGCCTTTATCTTCGCCAGTTTTTTGGATTTTAGATGGCCGATGTTTCACGTGGTGCATTTCATTTGTTCGTGGCTCAGTTCTGTGACAGAGCAGACTCAGACACATGAATAGAGGTTTCAAACATGTCTGACAAAGTCAAACAAAGTCGCGTGGTGTAATGAAATAAAACCAGCCGAATGCTCACCTGGATGGTGGGGTAGCTCATGGAGTGACTGATCCTCACCGGCCGCCCGCACACCGACGCCGTGATGTTCCCGTTGTAGAAGTTGGCCATCGCCCGTGCTTCTTCTTCTGTGGCGAACTGAAGGAATGCCTGACGAGGGAGAGGAGACAAACAAAGAGGTGTTTAAACGGCACAGAACAAATGTCTGTAACGCGTATGCCTTAACCTTAAAAGATGCTTCACAAGCGACTGAAAGGAGCTCTCAGTTTTACTGATTTTCAAAATTAATCTCTAATTTTAAATATTTTAAATAGTGAGTGAGTTCTGGTGTACCTCGGGTCTCAGGTCCAGCACCAGGTGTTTGACCACCTTTCCGAAAGGCTGGGCAAGTTTCAGCAGCTCGTTGAGGTACTGGTACCCTCGCCTGAAGCCGACGATGTTCACCACCCTCATACCCTGATGGGAGGAGCAAGAATTGAGGAATTCCAGTGAAACAGAGTGAATGAAAACAGGTTTCTGAACAAAAGTTATGTTGGAAATCTCAAAATGTCTGAAGCTAGCGCAATTACATACAAAAGCAAAGATATTATGGATCAAAAACCATTATTAATGCAAAATTTTCCTCTGTGTGGAGGTTTGAGCAAACACCATTATAAACATATTGATTATTATAAACTCAGAGTATTTATCAAAGTAAACGCGTCTGACGAAGCACTAAATAGAGTTAGAGTGACAGTGTGACCTCAGAGGATCAGATTTAGAGGGAGTGTCATGCAGCTGAGATGCAGTGATCCACAGAAACATGAAGTCAAATATTAAAGGTATCAGAGCGACGGCGCTCGGGTACGTACCCCTCGCCTCGTGTTGTCTGCAGAGAAGAGGAGACACAAACAGAGAGGAAGATGTGCGTTAATTTCAAACATCTTTTTGTTGATTGAAGACATCGTCCTCACATCCATGAAGGAAAATGACTTTTTAAGGAAAAGCTGGTGCTGCAGCACATTACAGGTACAAGTGTTAACTTTGATCTCTAAATATTGATCTGATCAGGTACCGATATTGTCCGACTCTCCATGGGCTTCGTCGTTGTCTTCCTCCAGCTCGTCCAGCGTCACAAAGTCCTCCATGTTCTCTGGGAAGTCCTGCTGGAAGAGACATCATTAACACACCTGTGCCACTCCTGGATTACAGACTGAAGGACAGAGCAGGTGCATCACCTCTTCTTCGGGTAGATCTCCCTCCGCTGCCTCCGGCGCCTCTGAGCTCTCTGCCGCCTCCATGTTCGCCTCCTCTTTGCTCTCGTGCTCCTCGGCCGAAGTTTCTGTTTCTGCCGCTTCCGTTTGTGGCTCTGACTCCGCCTCCTGCTTGACCTCACTCGTGTCTCCAGGTGTGTCATCAGTGACATCATCAGTAACCTGTGTGCAGTTCGGTTTAATTCCAGGAATGACTTTTGGCTTGAATATATTTTTCTTCATCTTTTTTGTTTTCTCACCTTCTCCTCCTCCTCTTTCTTCTCCTCCTCCTCCTCCTCCTCCTGTCGAGCATCCTCAGACTCCTCTACCGTCAAATTCACAGACTCTGCTCCCTCTGACTCCTCCCCCTCTCCATCAGTTGCTGCCTGCTCCTCCCCCTCCCCATCCTCCCCTCCTTCCATCACACCTGAGACTTCCTTCTCCTCCTCCTCCTCCTCCTCCTCTGGCTCTGCCTTCACTTTCTTCTCCTCTTTCTCTTCCTCCTCCTTCTTCTCCTCCTCCTTCTCCTCCCTCTTCTTGTCTTCTTTGGACCTGGAGGTGGATGATTTGGATAAGGTGGTTTTGGAGGAGGTCCTGGTTCCAGTGCCGGAGGAGGTGGAGTTGGCTTTGCCACTCTTCCTGTTCGAAGCGTCTCCTCCGCCCTTCCTTGCGTTCACACTGCGTGAAGCACAGAAGCATTAATGCATTACTGACTTAACTTTTCTTACTCAAGTTAGCTTTATTACTTATTTACTTTCTATAATTACTTTTTTTTGGTAAAATTTACTTTATTTTCTTTACTTGCTTTTTGTTAACTTAATCCAAGTTACAAAATTCTGTTAGTGTTTCCTACTGCACAGAAGAGGAAAGAGTCCTGCACCAGGTCACAGACAATGTCACGGCCATCACGCGTCTGAGGTACTCACTTGAGGGTTTTGTACTTGGTGCAGACATTGAGGCGGATCCGTCTTCCTCGGATGGTGAGGGGGTTCACAGTGTAATACTTCACCAGCATCTCTGCATCCTCTGCAGTTCCCAGCTGGATAAATGCCTGCACACATGGAAAGTCAGACTCATTTTAGCTCATGGAGGGCGTACAGGCCAATTTTGTGACCAATAAAAAACACACTTTCCACACTATCCACAATCACGAAAAGCAGCATTAAAAAAACATTAATGAATAACTGAATGTTAGTTAGAACTACCAGACCACATGGCTGACATGCCAGGTTTAAGCAACACTGGTGTCTGAAAAATTTTGGGGTGGTGGTCAAGGGATGAGAAGTTTGGATCCAGACAGATCCCTGCTCGACTTTTAAGGCTTCAAACTTTCCTTTTTGCTAAAGCTTAAAGTCAGCGATGGCACCAGTACCTGGTCTGTTAAGAAGAGGTGTTTCTCCACAACACCAAAGCGCTCAGCAATGGTCAGCAGCTCCTTCTTCTTCTCATCCTCGCGGGGCAGGTTGGAGAAAAAAACTACCTTGCTGGCTTGACCTTTGACCTCCCTCACAGGTCTGTCCATCAGTCGATCCATCGGTCGGTCCATCGATCGCTCGTCTTTCTGAGGGTCAAAAACGGAAACCTGTGAGGGTCTGAGTGTGTCAGAAAGCAGTGAGTTTTATTTAACCGGCGAGGGCAACATTACCTCGATGAACATGAGGGTCTGGGACAGGTAGAAGGAGATGGATTTGCCGTACAGAGATGCCGGGTGCTGTTTGTAGTAGTTCACCACATCCAGAGCTTCTTCATGAGTGCTCATCTCCAGAAAAGCCTGATGGACACAGAAATTAGACTTCAGGTCTTACTGTGAAACAGGAAACAGGTCAGGTCCAGTGGTTTGTGATCTTTAGGACGACGATACTGAAGCTTGGCTCGTTTCTGTAAAGTGTGAGGGCTTGGACTGAGCGATGGTCAAAGTTTTTCCTCTATACAGACTTTCTGGGGAAGTTTTTCCTTAAGTTCAAGTCACCCTTCTCTTTTTTGGTTTATTTGGTGCGCTTGTTTAAAAATCCTTCTGAAAAATCAACCCTTATTTGACCCGTTTAACTTTATGAGTTATGTGACATATTCAGCTTAATTTAAATAAAATTTGTAGTTAACATTTTGTTCTTTTTTAAACTTTGATTATATTTGATCCAGGAATCATTTTTTGCCATTTATGTAGATTTTAACTTGCCGCAGTCAGTACGTTATTAACTTATACTGAATTTTAGTTTGATTTTTATTAAGCTCACTTTGTTTTATTGAAGCATATATTATTATTATTATTATTATTATTTTATTACACCATTTTATTTAAGATGCGCTAACGTGATATTTCTTTTTCTCTCCTTTTTAAAAAACATTTTGAAATTTGTTTTTCTGAGTCAGAGCAAAACACAAATACTTCAAACAACACATCAAAAAAATTATTTGTATTTTCTTAAAAAGAAGAAGAAAAAAGAAAAAGTCCAGACATCTGACACATCTTCGACTGACTGACCTTCCTATGACTCATTAGTCTTCCCTTTCTGATTTATATTAAATTACATGAGTCGTCACATTTAAAATCAATCGCTACCTCCGACCCAATCCCGACAGAATCAGCTAACCTCGCAAAGCCCAGCAAAATCTTACCTTCACACAATGAATATTTCCAGTTACAGCCCTCAGAGTTCATAGGGGTGCTCAGAATTTTGCACTTTTAATTTGTGTTATTATTTTTACTTTAATTTCATGAGTACAGTTGGTTTCCACATCAAATTCATGTGAGTGTCCCAATCTAAAGCCAAAATCTGTTTGTTTTTTTGTTCCCTATGATTTTTAAAAATTATTAAAAGGTATTTTTTCCCTTCCTCAGATTTGAAATGAATGAAGTGGAAACAGCGAGGTGAGCTGTCCTACCTTGTTCTTGAGGATGAGGTGCTCCCTCAGGCAGCCGAAGCGCTCAGCGAAGGCGAACAGGGTCTTGTTGCTGAGAGGCTTCCTGTCGTATTTCACCACCACCACCCTGCTCCTCAGCTGAGGACACGACATTTAACACTGCTGCACCGTCACTGAAGCACCACAAAGCTTTTCAAAGATATTCTGGATGACGTGAACTTTTAAACAATGTGTTTGGCACAGAGGGAGGAAATATGTTTACTGAAACCCTCTGAAACCCACAGGGTCAGAGACACAGCAGGTGACACAAGCGTTCAGACTGACCTTATTCAGACCCAGCTGTCCAGGACCTCCACCTCCACCTGACACAGAAAAACACACTGTTTAGGCCACCAATTTAGGATCTTTTAAGTGACCAAAATGACCATGCAGGGTTTTTATATTTTATACAGAAATAAACTTTTTAAAGGCTCTGATTACATTAAATTAGGGTTGTGCGATATGACCAAAATATCGCAAAAACATTTCCCATCCTGATAACACTTTATATCACAAAATAGCGCATTTTCTGTAAATGCTGTGAATCTCGGGCAACTCGATTTGCGTGAAGTGTACCTGTAGCACACGACGCCTGAATCTATACATTTTTAGATAGAAGCTGTAATGCCTGCCATTTTTATTGTGAGTATTTATTACATGGCGTGCTGCTGGGAAAAGCCTGTTCTAATGTTTGAGTCTAAAGATTATTTTGAGCACCTGACTTCTCTTTTTTATCTGTGATGGTTTTTGTGCCCGAACATTTTCAGAGCAATTATTTAATAAGTAATGTAAGTCAGCAAGTAAATAAAGTAAGATAAGTAAGTACAGTAACAAAAGTATAGTAAGTACACTAACCAAATTAATAAGGTAAGTATAACAAGTAAAGTAAGAAAGCTGAGTAAAGTAAGCCAAGTAGAGCAACTATAGTTTATTTATTTTACTCACTAAAGTGATCACAGTAAGTAAAGTACACTAAATACAGTACTCACTAAATACAGTGAGTACACAGTAAATGAAGTGAGAAGAGTAAAGAAAATATGGTAAAGTAAGTACAGCTAATAAAGTGAGTAAAGTCTGACAAGGAAGAAAACAAAACAAATTACAGGAAGAAAAGCAAAAGTAAAACATGTTTAGTTTTGCTACTTATCTTCCTTAAATAGAGTAAGTATGTACAGTCAGTAAATAAACAGAAATAGTAAAAGTAAAGTTAAATAATGAAGTCATTAAGTAAGACAAGTAAACTAAATAAACAAAGGAGTACACTGAGTACATTGAAAAAAGTAAGCAAAGAAAGTAAAGTTAACAAAGTACAGAGAGTTAAATAAGTCAGTAAGTAAAGGACGGTAAGAGTAAAACTACATTAAACAAAATACTGGCGGCAGCCTCTGCCACCTCTCAGCCTCCTAGTAGATGCACCTATGGTATGAATTTCAAAATCGTGCATCACCTTGTTCTCAAATTGTTCAAACCTAAGTCAAGTCCATGAGAAAAATAAGAAAGCTCTGGCTGATTCATTCAGATAAGTAAAGTAGGTAACAAAACTAGGTGTAGTAAGAAAAGAATGTGCGTAAGTAATGAAGGTAAAGTAAGATATGTAAAACAAGTACTGCTAGTAAATGAGGGAAAATAAGAACTAGGTAAGTAAGTAAAGTAAGTACAGTATGTACAGTAAGATAAGTAAAGTAAATAAGACAGACAACTAAGTATTGAAACTAAATTAAAGATAATTTACTTAATTCCTTTAATTACATAAGTATAGTAATTAAATGAGTATATTATAATAAGCTAAAGTAACTAAATTAAATTGAGTAAAAAGACTAAGCTAAGGATGCAAGTGAAGTCAGTACATTAAATGAACAAATAAATGTTCATTATATTAAAAAAAATGATGGATTTAAAATATCACGATCGGCCCTTTAGAATTTTAAAAAATACATAAGGACAAGTTAAGACGATTTATGTCCTGGAGTGGACTAAAACCTCCAGCAATAATGATAACAGCAATAATTAGAAGGAGAAAAAGGCATCTGCATGTATCTTACCCCAGCTCGAGGACATCCCTCCCATTGGTCCTGAAGACATGGGGGCGGGACCCAGCAGCCCTGCAGACAGGTTGGGGGTCTCTGAGAGACCTCCACTGGAAATAAATGAACTAGGGTGTGAGTCAGTTATCAAACATCTGGATTATTAGAACAAAATATAATATGATGTAATACAATATAAAAATTACTCAATTAGCACAAACAAGCTATAGAAGCTGCAAAGAGTCTGTGAACCCCAGAATTTAGATTTTTTATGATATGATGTCTGATTCTCAACTGCAGTCTATCACAGATTTTACTTTAATTTGAAGTATTAAAGTATTTTTACTTCCAGTGTGTGAACAGACTGAAGTGTAATGTCCCCCTCAGTTGCCTGTAGCAGCATGTGGGCCGACTCTGCTAGTCCATGTCATGATTTCACTTCTGAGTGCTTCAATGACAGCACAAGCTAACTTAGAAATGCTAGTGCTATCATTGCTATCACTTAGCTTAGAAATGGAGTCCACAATTCAGTCATGATTACAGAGAGCAGCAGATGAATTATTTTCTACACTATAATTACTGTTTTGCTAACAGTATCAGTGTCTCTTACCCTCTGCCTGAGCCCATACCGGGATCCCACTCAGGATACCTAAAAGAAAAAACAAACAAACAAAAAAACATTCACACAATATTAAACATCTATTAAAGAGGGAAAGACCTCCGAGTTCAATCCAGCATAAACCAAGTAGGTGACACATCTTGACTGACTGCAGATGGTTTCAATGTTTTGGCTCACTGTTGTGTATTAAGAGCGACTCACATGTCAAGAAGCTGCCGTCTGTTTTCAGCATGGCGGAGTCCATTAATGTGTTGATTCCACTCCTACAAACACATCTAGAGAATGAGTGACGCTCAAACACTTTCATTTCCTAACATGGAACCTCTATATTAAAGGTCCAGTTCAAACAGTTATTAACCTTAAGTGGTTCGTTCAGAAAAGCACCCAGGGAATTGTTTTTGTTTTGTTTTTTAAACTAAGTAAAAAAAAAATATATATATATATATATCACCTGTTACTTAAAGGGTATGGTAAAATGGCTCCTGTACCGTTTTAAAAATTAAAGGAGTGCTTTTTAAGATCTTTTAGAAATGACTTAAAAAAAAGAAAATGAAAAACAGCATTTGATGCCTTTTTTCCAAGAAAAGAAAAGGGTAATGTGGATCTTTTTGGATTCTAAACTGGCTAGACAAAACAGTAACAGTCACTGATTTTAAGAAGGTTATAAAATACCATGTGTATATTTCTCAAATCTTTAGCAAAGGCTTGGGAAATAGAACATTTTAAGACCATTTTAATTCCTTTTTTAAAAGTTCATACTTAATGCCCCAGAAGAAACCCTGACACCACAAACTAAAGAAAAACAAACACAAGACCCCAGCTGCCAAAAGTCTCACAGGTTTAAAAGCTGCCAATTCGATAAGTCCATGAATGTGTGAGGAGCTTTAAATGTTTCATGTTGGAGACACAAGGAGCAAATCAAGATCCTCCCAGGACTTTGTTAAAGCTAATGAAGTGAAAAGATCAAGTATATCAGACTGAATGTGTAACATGAACAGCTTTACCAGCTCATGTGAACAGATACTAATTATAAAAAGAGATTTTTGGTTTAATTGGATGACCGCTGGAAAGATCCAAATCTAACTGGTCAATGCTGGAGAGCTTCAGCTGAGAAAATGGAGACAGGGAACATGCTGTGAGGAGATACAACAAGGAAATTATATGAAGTAAACCGGACCTGAATCAGCGCCTGTCACTGACTGAAGGAAGACTGGAGCTCAAACAATTACAGTTAGTCCGAGAAGAAAAGAGGAAGCAGGTTGGACGTACTCACCATGGTGGAATGAACGTCAAAGTCACAAAGAGAGCACACGTGGGGGAACATGGGGGGCATGACTCCCAAGAAGTCTTGGACTTTTCCGTTTGACGGGGAGCCCATCCTCCTCTGCATAAAGACGGGCTCAGACGGGCCCATGCCGAGCCCACTGCGGTGGGAAAGCTCAGAGTATGGCCTCTCTCTGCTCCCACCTCCACCGCTGTAATTTAAGCCGTAGCCCCGGCCGGAGGAGACGTCCTGCAGGGAGCTGTACCCAAAGTCTGTGGAGGACTTGGCTGAACCTTGTCCCAGAGAAGAACCGCCCATCCTCCCCACGTGCCCCTCTTCCCAGCTTCCTCCTCGATACGCAGCATCAGAGGACATGGCCGCCCGCCGCTCTCCTGCTTCCCCCTTGCGACTCTTCAGCTGTCTGAGGATGTGTGGCAGTGTCTCCACACTGATCTCCTCCTCAGGGATTTCAGCCAGAGCGTCCAGGTCAGAGGGCGACAGCCCCAAACTGGCAAACAGCTTCATGGTGCTGCCAAGATTGCTGGTGCTGCCGCCACCGCCGCTGCCACGTCGGGGCATCTGCCCGCTGCCGTCCTGGCCCTCCATGCCCATACCCATGCCCAC